AACATTCTCGCCAGTTCGGAGCGATTTTGATTGGCTACACAGGAGAATGGTTTCCTGTGCTTGTGCCCAGACTTCACGACGACCAATGTGAACCCTTTTCTACGAAAATATTTTCGCACCCACTTCACCTTCCAGCTCCAGTTCTGAATCTAATCAGAGCCCCGTAGGAACACGCACTCAGACGGAAATATACGCGCTATCTAAAAATTCTGATAAGTGCCTACACCAAGTCTGAGAATTCAGACGGATTTATATAACCAAGATGGTCGTTCAGATGAAAAATAATGGGTTGTCATAAAATCTGATGACACGGGAAAAGTGAGTCTGATTCTCAGATGAACATACGTATTTTGTTTGCTAACAGGAACCCTGCGTTAGCGCCCCGCTGGCCCCCGTCGAGCCCCGCTAGCCCATGCGCCCTGCCGGCCCCGTCCGCCCCGCTGGCCCCGTTCACCCCGCTGGCCCCGTTAGTGCCCCGCTGGCCCCGTCAAGCCCCACTAGCCCCGAGCGCCCCGTCGGCCCCGTCCGCCTCACTGGCCCCGTTCGCCCAGCTGGCCCCGTTAGTGCCCCACTGACCCCAGTTTCAATAGCTCCCTATTTGCTATAACCCTGACTGTGTACTACTCTTTGTATTATCTTGACTGGCGTTGTAGCTCTGGCTCCAATGGCTGGACTAGTAGTGTTGCCCTGGGTTACTCTTGTTTAGTTTGTACCCTTGTTGAATGGTCTTCAGACCCTTGCCTTAGAGGTTGGACTAGTAGTGCCACCTTGAGCTGCTTGTCTCTTTCTAGGCACTGCCCCTTGTCTAGCCTAGGGGGTGTGTCAATTCATAATATTTGTTGTTATAGGCTAGATTGTTGCATGCTCTTAGAGAGTACAACATCGAAGTATAAGAACCCTTGTATGCGTTAAATTATATACTTTATATAATTGTAGGCTTAGTAGTTGTGCTACTTACAGGAGCCTACTGTAGAGGGTACAACTCTCTCCTTGTATCCCTCTCTCTTCTTATCTCACCCTCTTTTCTCACCTCAACTTTCCTAGCTTCTAGCTCCTAAAACCTTACGCCATTTCCATGGCTTCCTTCTATTCTTCCTAGCCTAGTCTTCTTAACATGGTACCAGAGCTGTTCGTTCCTTGTGGGCCTGCTCCTCACGCTTCTGCTGCGCTCTTCTATTCTCTCTCTCTCGCGCTGCCATGACGGCCGCGTCGTGGTGCTGTGGCCACGTTGTCGTGCCGCCGGCCGCGTCGTGCTGCCGCGGCCGTCGCGATGCGCTGCCGTGGCGTCGCGCCGTCGTGGCGACGACGTCAAGCCGTGACGACGCCGTCAACGTCAGCGCACGGGCAGCAGTGGGTCGCGCACTCGTTTAGGCACAAAGCAGCAAGCCCCCCGCTCTCTGGCTCCCCGCGCCTCTCGGCTCGTCGCGTTGGACCCTGCTCGTCGCGGCGGACCCAGCTCGCCGCGTCGGTCCCAGCTTGCCACGCCAGCCGGCTCCGCCCCGCCGCAACTCAAGGATGCCTAGCGCCTTCCTTCCCTTCAGTCACCTCTGCCGCAGGTTGAGCATGCCGCCATTGCCTCGGGTGCCGCAGCCGCCGTTGCCAGGTGCGTCGACGCCGCCGCCGTAGTCGCTGACGCCGCCGTCGCCGCTGCGGCCCGCCGTCGTCGTCGCCACCTCGATCGCCAAAGGGTCGATCGGTTGATCGCAGGGCCCCAGATAGCAGACGAAATCGGTCCGATGGTATGAAAATCAGACTCGATAATTTAGGTTCATCTTATTTTCAAAACCACCTGTCTATTTCGTTCGAACGTGAAGACGGATGTTTAAATTTCGTCTGAAAAATCAGACAGCCAGTTATATTTCGTCTTAGAATCCAGACAACGCGTACATTTTCGTCTGACAACTTTGCCCACTGGCCTTTGTATCTGGCTGTGAGGGACTTCATCAAATTTGCAAGTTTTGTGAGGGGTATGTGAGAGCAATGTCTCTGGTTTGACTTAGCCGATTTTCCTAGGTCACGACTTTCGAGGGGTATGGGAGGGATGTCTTTGGTTGAGGGGACTTAGCTTAAACTTATGGGTTGCGAGGGGTGTGCGAGGAATGCCTCTGGGCTAGAGGACTTAGTCGAAATTCCTTAGCAGGGGGAATTGTGGGAGTGTTGTCTCGAAATGTTAGTCGAAATTATGTGCCCGCAACAGTAAAAGCTGAGCTGGGTGAATGAGATGAGAATCCTTGTTGACCTGGCATAGCCGGTCAGGTGTGTGGACCGAAAAACACCCTGAAAAGGCAGGTAAGGAAAATAAATTGGGCTCGCTAGCGGACAAAACCTTCGGGCAAGTTCTTCCTTCTAGCCCATCGAGCGAGCCAGGGCACATCAGCATGGGTGGAGAAATCCCCTCGACACATCAGCAAGCGTGAAAATCCCCCCCCCCCCCCGCCCCCCACCAGATTCACGAGGCGTGTGAATGTACGAAAAAACATGAATAAAGTACATCGTGTAAAATACTACAGCTCTGCGATAAAATTTCGTCTGTTTTTTCAGACACATCATTTGTTTTCATCAGAAAAATCAGACTTGTGCAATTTTTCCGTCTTAACGTCAGACGAAGGCAAAAAAGTTGGTCTGAATATCCGACAGGCCTAAAAGTTAGCAAGGACCCTGGCTGGTCGGCACCACTGCTGCTGCAGGGAATGGGGGTGCAAGGAAATGGGGTGCCTGGGGTGGGATGGGTTTGCCACTACCAAGCCCAAGGGGTAAATTATATATTTTATATAATTATAGGCTTGGTAGCAGGGCCTACTTTTGGATTTTTACTACTCTGATATTGGGGAGTGACATTTCGCATTACTATGAAAATCAGAGTGCATCCTTACAGTTTCTCTGATTTGCCAGGGTTTTTTTCCATTTTGAAAATTTTACACTGGTAGTGCAGAGGGGAAATTTCCACAACTCTGTGCTGCTGTTGTGCACCCCGACAAAGGTTGATCGAGGGGATTTTGTGGTTGGTCCGATCAGATAGACTTACGTTTCATTTCAAATACACATAGATTCTACCGTGTCGGGCGCTTCCAACTTGTCTAAAGATGCGTCTACCATGTCAAGCTACCTACTCATATGCTACTCTGTCTTGACACGCTTTGGGTGACGGGGCTTGTACACCATTGACAAAGCGACAAGAAAGATGGGGATGATTGTTCCGGTGTAGTACATGCCACTGTAGGCCGAGTATGCGCCTGATAGTGTCATGACCTGCACATATACAGCCACAGTAAGCACACCCACATGAAAAAAAGGCAGTGAGCAGAAATCAGCAGGCAGCACGAGGCATAGGTAACATTGACCATCACTGCAGCAAGGTGGTTTGTTTGAGCGCCAGTGGGTATATAGCAGAATATGCAGACTTACACAAACGGCGCTGGCCATGTAGCTGCACACAAAGATGCTATACAGCGTGTGCAGCACTGCCACAATACGGTGGGCGATGGTGCCCTTGGGGATACCACTGGTGAGCTGGTAGATGGCTGCAAGAGGAGAAACAGAAATGAGAGATGGAGGGAGGGAGAGGGATATGGGAGAGAGATATGTGACAGGAGTGCAAACCAGTTAGGGGAAGAAGGGGGAAGAGCTAACGTAAAGGAGAAGTTTCACTGGCGGGAAAGAAGGAATGGGAACGAGATGGCAATGGAAGTGGGGGCAAAAATTGTGCATGCTACAAACGTCTTTCCGGTCTGTTTGCTCGTTTTCTGCAATCCCATTTGACAGCTCCATTGGAGCGGTAGCTGTGGCTCAACTGGAGCGGTAGCAACTCGACGGAGAAAGTCGAGCCTGCTAAGAGGGAGCGATCTAGGAGTTCGCAGAAGGACAGACTCGTCGCCACCGCCATCGTCGGGCTCACTCCTGCCAGCCATGACGGCAGTGGCACGAGTGACGACGGGCGGCAGCGACGGCGAAGGTAAGCGGAGGTTTTCTTCTGCTAGGACGTTGTGAGAGATAGCTTTGGTGAAGGGGAGGAAGGGAAGGTTGAACAAGACGAGGGGTTCGTCTGCTCTTCTTGGGGGTGTGTGAATTGTGGGGTGCCTCGGAGTGGGTGAGGGAGTGACTTCGGTCGTGCATGCATGGATGGTGGCTAAGGTCGGCGTGCGGTGGTGAGGGAACTGCTGCCAGCCTTGCAGTGATGCTGCAGTCGTGACCAACCAGCGCGAAGGATGCTGCCAGCAGTGGCAAGGATGGCAGCATATGACGTGCCACTGCCTGGCGGTACGCGTAAAATGACACGTATTGCGGGATATTGGGGCAAGGCCAGGTACAGGGTACAGGGGAAATCTACAGGTATACCCCCTGTACACTAACCCTCAGAGGGGTACAAATGGTTACTCTGATATAATCAGAGTAAAAAAAAACATCAACTTTTTTACTCAAGGCACTTAGAGTAGTTTTCAAAAACGACTCTGATTTTCAGAGAAACAGAGTAAATTACTCTGATAAAATAGGCCCTGCTTGGTAGTTGTGCTACTTATTGGAACCTACTGTAGAGGGTACAACTCCCTCCTTGTATCCCTCTCTCTTCTTATCTCACCATCTTTTCTCTCCTCAACTTTCCTAGCCTAAAACCTCATGCCATTCCATGGCTCCTCCTACTCCTAGCTAGCATATTCTTTCTAGTCTTAACAGTATGCCCTTGTTTGGTTCACTTCGTCATGCTGAGAGACTTTACATGTTTTGTAGGTCTGCGTGATAACATTGCAACAAATTCTAGCTTCCAATACAGGCCCGTGTTACAATTTCAAGAATGCAATGCTATAGTATTATTCTTACTCATAATGCCAAATATGAAAAGGAGCCACGTAACGTACACATCATGTATTGTTGCTAGTGAGCTAGTCATTGGAAGCGAATTAGGGGGTGCTTATATAATAGTGCAGTGGATTCTCTATAGGGAGTTGCAACCAGTCTCTATTTGCCTCTTGGCTTCCACTCCCTTAGGCTTTCTGCCGCTGCTTCTCGCGTTCTTCCATTCCATATCACGCGGAGACGCCATTACGCTATCAAAGCGAACGGTTGACGCTTTCTTTCGCTTAGTTTCTCTTCGCAATCTGTTCGTCGGACCCTGTTGTCGCAGACCGCCAGCGACAGGCAGCAAAGAAATTTGGCTTCAGAGAGCGACTGGATGGATGAGCATCAAGAAAGCGAAAACGTTCCGGGTCAAGCATCAGATCTTGTCGCGGACGAGATGCAAGATGGTGACGCGGGTTTCGATCCGGTAGGAACCGAGGCCGAAATTTTAGATGCGGAGCCGTCAGCCGGTGAAGGTAAGGCTTCTGGAGAGGGTTCAGAGGGAGCGGATGCAAACGTCATAACGGATAACGGTGCAGATGCAGACGAGGATGCTGCTGCTGGTGGAGCTGATAACGAAGATGCTAATGATGATGTTGACGGTGCGGCTGGAGGCGACGAAGTTAATGCTAGGGTAGCGGAAGACGAAAGCGGAGCAGCTAATACTGAGAACGGTTCCTCTGATATCGAAGCGGAGAAGAGGAGTGAAGCAGGCGACGGTCAGGGGAACGGGATTGTAGCAGAAGGGGATGAGGATCAAGCGAAGGCAGAGAGGGAGGAGACGGAGGCGGATGCGGAGAAGAACACGGATTATGAAGCGACGGAAGCAGGTGATGAAGCAACGGTCAACGGGGTCAAGGGGGTCAACGGCGTTAACGGCGTTAATGGCGTCTCCATGACGAAGAAAGAGAAGGAGTCGGAGAAGCGGAGGCGGCGGCGAAAGCAGAAGAAGAAATCCAAGGTGGCGAGCAAGGGAATGGCGATGGAGGAGGAGAAAGAGAAAGAAGCCGAGGACGAGAAGACGGACGCGGTAGGCTCTGTCGGGGTCTTTGCATGTGGAAATTCCGGCTAGGGTTTCCTTCTGAGGTGGTTCAAGTTACGTGGAGCTTCCTTCTAGGATTTTTTTCTGACCTAAGGACCCTATCTTGGTGCATTCGTTTCGCTGTAGTTACTTTGTTTCGGGTAATTCTTCTCGAGTGCTGACGGGATGGTCTGGTTGAGTATGCTGCAGAGAAGCTGGTTTTGACCTACCCCGGTTCTGTCCTACCGTTGGGATCTTTGTTCCCTGTCAGGTGCTGCCGGGATGTGCTGGTTGAGTATGTTACAGAGAAGCCGGTTTTGACCTACCTCGGTTCTGTCCTACCCTTGGGATCTTCGTTCCTTGTCAGGCGCTGGCCGGAGTGGAGGTGGAGTATGTGACAGAGACGCGTGTTTTTGATGCGCCCAAAAACATTCGTTGTCGTCCTTCCCTTGGGATCTCCGATCGTTGTTTGTTCCTTGTCAGGCGCTGGCCGGAGTGGAGGTGGAGTATGTTACAGAGACGCCCGAAATCGAGGGAGAAGGATTCGAAGAGTTTCTGAAGATATTTGAGAAGTTCGCCACAGTGGAAGAGCCCAAGGTGAGCGCCTTAAGACCAAGGACCTGCTTTTTCTAGCGCACCGGTTTTAGGCACAACTTTATCCAGAATTTTCTCTCACTGTCACCGTCGCAACATGCTTTTTTTTTTTTTCCTACGTCGTTTGTTGAGCAGGAGGAGGAGAAGGAGGACGAGGAGAAGGCAGAGAAGAAAAAGAAGGCTGATTCGGATGATGAGGATGAGGATGAAGACGAGGAGGACAAGGAGAAGGGTATAAGCAACAAGGAGAGGAAGGTGGGTGGGGTGCTGACTCGTGCTTGCTCCTATTGGAATGATTTTTAGTGTTCGAATTTTGCTGCTGCTGATGATGATGAAGACGAGGAGGAGGAAGGCAAGGAGAAGGGCATTAGCAACAAGGAGAGGAAGGTTGGTGGGATGCTGACGCTTGCTTGCTCCTATTGGACGGAGTTAAAGGCGTGGGAAAGGGGGCCGGATTTCCTCCTGGGATCTCTAAAAGCCCAAAAAAGAAAAAGAAAAAAGAAGCCATGCCATGCCGTCCCATCCCATCCCATGCCATGTCATGCCATCAGATGAAGCACCGCATGAAGGTGGGCGAGTTGAAGCAGATATGTGCGCGCCCAGAAGTCGTGGAGGTATGTGTGCTATGTGTGCTGCTGCCAGCCACGTCCCATGTCATGTCAATGCGCCTTGCTCTTGCTTCTGAGTCGACTCAAAAGTCACCTCTGCTGCCAGCCACGTCCCATGTCATGTCAATGCGCCTTGCTCTTGCTTCTGAGTCGACTCAAAAGTCACCTCTGCTGCCAGCCACGTCCCATGTCATGTCAATGCGCCTTGCTCTTGCTTTGCTGCAGTCACTGCCTCTGATTCCTCTTTCATCTCTCATAAAGCACACCACCACTCTCTCACATTTTCGACCCCCCTAAACCCTCTCTCCAGGTGTGGGACCCCACAGCTACGGACCCCCGGCTTCTCGTGTTTCTCAAGGCGTACCGCAACACCGTGCCTGTGCCGCGCCACTGGTCGCAGAAGCGCAAATACCTCCAGGTGATGCCACCCACCCACCCTTTAGGCGACGCCAGGCGATGCCACCCATACCCTTATCATGGCATGTTCCCCATCGCCCATGCCAATCACATGCCGTCACAACCCCATGTATGTGCTAGCACATACGTGCCAGCACACGCGCTTCTAGCCAGGACGTGCAGCTTGGGTCTCATTTCTCCCTTCGGCTGCTGCAGGGCCTGGCGCGTTCTGCATTTGTCTGTTGACCGGGGCATGGCTGTCCTCGTGCAAGTTAAGGTTTGTGTTGTTTGGTGGCTCCGTCCGTCGGCTGCTGCAGGGCCCATGCCACACTGCTGCTCTCTTCGTCTCCCTGTCGTGTTTGGCTTCTTTGCTACGCCTCCTTGATTCGCTTCTTTAATCCCCTTTCGCGTGCTGGGTGTTCTGCTCAGCAGCGGCGTAGGTGCTATTAATAAGCATTGGAGTGTCTACTTCCCTTGTTTCTCTTGCAGATTTGAGAAGTGGTCCCCCTCAAGTCTGTTCTTTGCAGGAATGGGGGCTCAGGGGCACTGGACTGTCGTTTTGCTGCTTTCTTGCTTCTCCCATGCTACAGTATCTGCTAGTCTTTGGTCCTTGGCGCATTCTGCCATGTGCAAAGCATCTGGTTTCAATACAAACCGTCATTAACAATATGCCTCCTCTTTCCTTGTTTCCTCTCCTCCTCTCCCCTCTTCCTCTCCCGCCCTCTTCCCCTCCTTCCAACGTCTCCTCCCTTCTGTTTCCCTCCTTACCCTCGCTCCTCTTTCCATATCCTTCTCCCTCTTCTCCTGGCCTCTCTCATCCAACTCTCTTCTACCTCTCGTCATCCTCTCCTCCTCTCCTCCTCTCCTGCTCTCCTCCTCCCTTCTCCCCTCCCCCCCTGGTACTGCATCCTTCCGTGCTTCTCTTATCCTCCTTCCTGCCTGCCACTCCTCGCTCTCATTGCGTGACTCACCTTGCAGGGCAAGAGGGGTATCGAGAAACCGGTGTGGCAACTGCCTGATTTCATCGCGGCAACAGGCATTGAAAAGCTCAGACAGGCACGACTCTTATCTCCTTGGCCACTATCTTCTTTCCTTCATCGTTTTTCGTTCCTTGCCTTCTGGCCCCTCTGCCCCAACCCGCCCCCCCACTTACCCCTCCTCTATCCCCTCCTCTGAAGCTCTAGAGTCAATCTGTCTTCCTTTCCCTCCCCCCCTCCCGTTCCTCCCCATGTCCGTTCCTATGCAGGCGTATGCGGAGAAGGAGGACAGCAAGAAGATGAAGCAGAAGCAGCGCGACCGCATGCAGCCCAAGATGGGCAAGATGGACATCGACTACCAGGTGCGTCAGAAATCGCCTCTCTTACTGTCACTTGTTTACTGTCACCTCTGGTTACTACTGTTACCTCTGCTTACTCTCACCTCGTTTCACTATCACCTTTGCCAGGAAGAGTCGGTTTTTCTATTGCCTCTGATTACAAGCATCTCATCCCACTGTCTCCTCGACTGCTCACACGGCAACATTTTTCAACTCACAAGTCACCTCACCGTGTTACTCATTCTCACCTCTTTCCTTTCTGCCTCTGTTGTTGCATCACCCCCTGATCGCATGCAGATGATCCACGAGATGCTACACACGATGCATTCTTCAAGCACCTCTTCGTTGGTTCTCACCTTTCTTCTTACATTTCTTCCTCCACCTTCGTTTTTCCTTCAATGGTCGAATGCACATGAGCCACCAGGTGCTACACGATGCATTCTTCAAGTACCAGACGAAACCCAAGCTGACCTACGTGGGCGACCTGTACTACGAGGGCAAGGAATTCGAGGTGCGTGTGTGTGCGTGGGGGGTGGGGGAGGAAGTAGAGGTGCTCAAGCTGACCTACGTGGGCGACCTGTAGGGCAGGGAGTTCTAGGTACGTTCGTTTGTGTGGGGGGGGTTGCTAGCAATCTCCCAAGCTCACGTGCGTGGGGGGTTGCAAGAAGCTCTCGTGGGGGCGGCCTTGGCCTTTACAGGGCCAAGGAATCATTCACGAGTCATCTTCTTGCCCTTCCTCTCCTTCTCGCCGACCCTATCCTCTCTCTCACTCCCCCCCTTCTCTCACTCCCCCGCGTCTCTCACTCCCCCGCGTCTCTCACCCCCCCGCTTCTCTCACCCCCCCGCTTCTCTCACCCCCCCGCTTCTCTCACCCCCCCGCCCGCTTCTCTCACCCCCCCGCGTCTCTCACCCCCCCGCGTCTCTCACCCCATCCGCCTTCAGAGCAAGACACGGGACTACAAGCCCGGGCACCTGTCAAGTGCTCTGAAGAACGCACTGGGGATGACAGACACCAACACACCGCCCCCCTGGCTTATCAACATGCAGGTGGGGTGCTCTTTTCAATAGATGGCTTTCGTTATGGCTGATCTTGTTGCCACAATGCTGTATGGCTATGGCCCGCTGCCTTCCTATCTGCGATTTCGGGCCTTTTAACTCGTCAATTTCCAATTTCTCCCTTCCTCTCCCCCCCGTTTCCAGTGCTATGGTCCGCCCCCGCCTTATCAATGCCCGCATGAAGATCCCGGGTCTCAATGCCCCCATTCCCAACTTCCTGCCTCTCCTCCCCTCGTCGCCCCCCCCCCCCCCTCCTTTCCCTCTCAGCGCTATGGTCCGCCCCCATCCTATCCGCACATGAAGATTCCAGGGCTCAACGCCCCCATCCCTGCGGGTGCCTCGTTCGGCTACCAGCCTGGAGGGTGGGGCAAGCCGCCTGTTGACGAGGTGAGTAGGTAGACTAGATAGAATCTATATCTTCTTCCGGCGTGCTTCAGGGCTGTTTTTCACAGGCTTGTGAAGGGATTTTATGCAGTTCTGTTGGCAAGTCTAAGTTGTTATTCACATGCTATCGATCCCTTCACATTTCGTCGTTTTGTGCTTTGCTGGCAGTATGGGCGACCGCTGTATGGCGACGTGTTTGGGGCGCAACCAGCACCAGAGGAAGACCAGTTTGAGGTGAGCGAGTGAGTTGCGAGTGAGTGAGTGAGTGAGTGAGTGAGCAATCTGCACCGGGTGAGGACCATGAGATGACGAATGCAGATAGAGATGAGGTGAGGTAGGGGCTCATGTACATGTGCGTGGGAATTGCCTGGGGAATGAATTTGACCATTCGTGCCCGTTGTATGGCTGTGGTGTTGTGTGGCCCTTGTATGCCGATATATCTCGAGCGTGACAGGTACCAGATTGTATCCGATTGTCCACCTTTCTACCCCCACTCTTCCCCCCTCCCTCTCTCGTCTTCTCCCCCCCCGTCCCCCCTTCTCCACCCCCCCCTTCCTCCGTCCTTCCCCTGCATCCCTGCAACCCTGCACATCTGCATACCTTGGCTCATCCCTAGGAGGAGCCCATTGATCGGTCTAAGCACTGGGGCGACTTGGAGGAGGAAGAGGAAGAGGAGGAAGAAGAGGAGGAGGAGGAGGAAGAGGAGGAGGAGGGAGAGGAGAAGGAAGTGGGAGAGGAGGATTTGCAGGCTGGCATCACATCAATCGATTCTCTCTCCACGTAAGCCTTTCCACTCTGATAAAAGAGCTGAAATTGGGGTTAGATATGGTTGATTTTTGAGTCGACTCAAAAATCACCTGAAATTGGGGTTAGATATGGTTTTCTTGCAGCGTCATACTCTGAGGCGCTTGAAAGAACTCCCTCCCCCTTCCGCCCCCTGCCCACCAATGCAGCACGCCAGCAGGAGTGGAGACCCCTGATGTTATTGACCTGCGTAAGGCCCAGCGCAAGGATACTGCTGAGAAGCCCCTCTACACGGTGGGTGGGAGTGGTTAACACAGTGAACATGCTTGTCATGTGTGTCTCTGACTACCACCATTGCCTTGCCTGGCCATGCCCTTCTTATTGCTTCCTCCCATCCTGATCGTTTACAATGTCCAAATGCTGGTGGTAGAGTTTCGTCTAACCCTTTACAACACCCGAGAAAGTACTCGCATCTCATTTACATCTCATAATCCCTGCCGTATCGTCTCTGTAATATCGTCTTTGCTTTCCCATGGGCCGTCATCATTCCCAGGTGTTGGAGGAGAAGGAGGAGCGAGTAGCACCGACCTCCCTCATGGGCACAACACACACGTACGTGCGCCTGCTTCTAAATCATCCCGCCATTTTTTGTTTCTCTTGCATTGGGGGGGTTGGGGTTGGGGTTGGGGGGGGGTTGGGGATGGAGGGAGGGGATTGGGGTCGAGTGAAGTTGGCTTTCAAGTGCGCTTACGAGTCACATGTACGTGTGTGTGTGTGTGTGTGTGTGTGTGTGTGTGTGTGTGTGTGTGTGTGTGTGTGTATGTGTGTGTGTGTGTGTGTGTTTCCATCCGCACAGCTATGCGGTGCGTCTGGTCGACAAGCTTCGTGTCCGATGATCCTCGGGTGCTCATTTTCATAACTGTTGTTTGGGCTACTTTGCCTGCCCTTGTATTTCCCGTTTCTCCGCTTTGCGCAGCTACGTGGTGCCTCCTGCCGATAAGGCAGCCGCCCCGAAGAAGGTTAGTTGCTTGCTGCAACACCACCACATGTTGACGTGCACTGAATGTTGCGCTGATGCCCATTCAGCGGCTGTGTGCTCGCGCGTCATCACACAAGATTTTTGAGGCGCCTGAAAAAAAACATCACCACATGTTGAAGTGCCCTGATTGCTGCACTGATGCACATTCAGCGGCTGTGAGCTCGCTTGCGCATCGTCACACATGTCAAATCAGCTCATTTCGTCAAATGTATGCTCAAAACGAAACTACTTACACACAGCTCGCACATCTCATCACACAGGTCATGTCAGCTCGTTTCGTCACATGTGTGCTGTGACCTGATCTCATGATGGTGCGCCCCATTCCTGAGCTCATCGGCTCTGCCTTCTCATCCATGCTCTTTCCCATGGGACCTCTGAGGCCCATGGGAAAATTAGGATGAGGCCCACTGAGTTCCGCTGAGGCGCACTGTGTTCCCTTCCCACTCTTTGTTCATGGGTGCAGGATGTGAAGAAGGGGGACAGAGTGGAGGTGACGCTTCAGCCAGAGGAGCTTGAGGAGCTTGACGACGCTGCCCTCGCTGCCAAGTGAGTGCCTTACTGGCTTGTATTGAGTTCTTCCCGCTTACCGGGGGCGTGAGTCCAGTGTTGAGGGACCTCAAAGCTGAGAGCTACCCTGCAGCCGGAGGAGCTCGAGGAGCTTGACGACGCTGCCCTCACTGCCAAGTGAGTGTGTGGCTGGTTCTGTCTTCTGTTGCTCTTACGCATGGTGAATGTGCCTGTATCTTGTTTCGAGGCTCCTCAAATCTGAAGGTGACGCTGCAGCCAGAGGAGCTTGACGCCGCTGCCCTCGCTGCCAAGTGAGTGCTTGACTGGTTCTGTCTTCTGTTGCTCTTGCACATGATGAATGTGCTTGCATCTTGTTCCGAGGCGCCTCAACTCTGGAGGTGACGCTGCAGCCTGAGGAGTTGGAGGAGCTTGACAACACTGCTCTCGCTGCCAAGTGAGCGGGGATAACTTCCTCTAATGCTCCTGTCTCTTACTGCTTTCGTACGAGCTGAGTGTGTGCATTGTGTTGTGAGGCAGCTTAAGAGTGCAGGTGGCATTGCAGCCAGAGGAGCCTGACTTGCTTCCCTCGCTACCGAGTAAGTGAGGATGTTAATGCCTCTGGATGCTAATACTCAGTATCTCTCTGTGTGTGCACGATCAGTGCGTGTATGCTTGCTTGGAGGAGCCTCAACACTGGAGGTGGCGCCGCTGCTGTCACTGGCAGGGAGTGGTTTGCTGAGTGTCGCACGAGCTGCTGCTGCTGCTGCTGCTGGTCTTGAGTTGCTGACGTCAGAGGTTTCCTTTTGCCTCTATCTTATCTCCACTACTCTTTTGTGCAGGTTTAAGGAGGCAAAGGATGCGGAGAAGCGGCCAGAGGAGAGGGAAGACTTCAGCGATATGGTGGCAGAGGTGAGTGAAGGAGAGGGGGAGGCAGCAGTTCCTGGGGGGAGGGGGGGGTGGAGAGGGGGGGGGTGGCCTACAGTGAAATGGGGCGTGTGTGGGTAGCTGTGACTATCATTTGATGCTTTTTTCTGTGGTCTTTGCCTCTCTGTATTAGGATAAGTATACGTCTGAGGCGTATCTCATTATCGTCGTGTCTTCTTGCTCCCTGTGTGGTCTAACGGTGTGGGTGGGCTGCAGATGGAGAAGAAGAGGAAGCGCAAGGCGCAGGATAAGGATAAGGCAGTGAAGAAACAGAAGGACTTCAAGTTCTGAAAGAGTGGCAGAATGGGACTCGTGGCCTTCACCTGTCTCCGCCCTTCTCCACCCATCTCCACCCATCTGCATTCATCTCCGCCCATCTGCGCCCATCGGCACTCTGTTTCGTCCACCCTCATCCAGCTTTCCCCACCTTCACCCATCGTTGGCACCTTCCATGCACTTCATCTCGGGGAGCCGCTCCTTTGGCTGCATCAAGGCCAAATGCCCACTCTGCATGCATGTGCTCATGCCTAGTACAGTACTGGTATTTCTACAGAAGACAAATTTGCACTGACCTGGTGTATGCTGTGCCTTGCTCCTGCGTCTTACTACAATGTTTGCCAGCCTTCTCACATACCACATCAGCCGAATTGATCCGAATGCTCCAAATACGTTATGTGACTCAGGCAGAGACGGCTACTGTGATGAAGTTTCCTGTTACAATCAATAGAGCCCACTATCAGGTCAGTCAATATGCATGATAGAAGGGGAGCCGTCATTGTCAGCCACATCTAGTCCTCGCTCCATGTCATGCCATGTCATGTCACCTCTGTCAAACATGTGTACTTGTCATATTTGTATAGACTGTATAGGGTAGTCTCTTAGAGGGTACAACCCTGAGGTATATCCTTGTGTACTCTCTTTCTAACATTCAACTCTCAATTATGATATGGTATCACGCGTAGGTAGGATCCCTCCCCACCTACCGCTTCCGCTCACCCCTCTAGCCCCTAGCCCAGTCGCGACCCCCCTAGCCCCGTCGCGCCCCTCATTGGGCCCTGTCGCGCCCCTCCCAGGCCCCCCCTAGCGCCCCTCCTGGGCCCCGTCGCGCTCCTCCCAGGCCCCGTCGCGTCCTCCTTGGGCCCCGTCGCGCCCCTCCTGGGCTTCGTAGCGCCCCTCCTGGGCTTTGTAGCGCCCCTCACAGGCCCCGTCGCGCCACTCCCAGGCCCCCTAGCGCCCCTCCTGGGCCCTGTCGCGCTCCTCCCAGGCCCCGTCGCGTCCTCCTTGGGCCCCGTCGCGCCCCCTCCTGGGCTTCGTAGCGCCCCTCCTGGGCTTCGTAGCGCCCCTCCAGGCCCCGTCGCGCCCCTCCCAGGCCCCCTAGCGCCCCTTCTGGGCCCCGTCGCGCTCCTCCCAGGCCCCGTAGCGCCCCTCCTGTGCCCCGTAGTGCCCCTCCTGGGCCCCGTCGCGCCCCTCCCAGGCCCCGTCGCGCCCCTCCTGGGCTCCGTAGCGCCCCTACTGGGCCCCGTCGCGCCCCTCCTGGGCCCTGTAGCGCCCCCCCTGGGCCCCGTCGCGCCCTCCCTGGGCCCTGTAGCGCCCCTCCTGGGCCCCGTCGCGCCCCTCCTGGGCTTCGTAGCGCCCCTCCTGGGCCTCGTCGCGCCCCTCCTGGGCCGTGTCGAACCCGCCTGCCGCCGTCGCACCCGCCCGGCCCCGTCGCGCCCGCCCGGCCCCGTCGCAGCCGCCTGGCCCTGTCGCACCCGCCCGGCTGCCGTCCCGCTCGCCCGGCCCCGTCGCACCGGCCCGGCCCTGCCGCACTCGCCCGGCCCTGTCGCCCCAGCCCGGCCCCGTCGCGCCCGCTCGGCCACGTCGCCCCCTCCCGGCCCTGCCGCACCAGCCCGGCCCCATCGCGCCAGCCCGGCCCCGTCGCACCCTGCCCGGCCCTGTCGCAGCCGCCCGGCCCCGTCGCACCCGCCCGGCCGCCGTCCCGCTCGCCCGGCCCCGTCGCACCGGCCCGGCCCTACCGCCCTCGCCCGGCCCCGTCGCGCCCGGCCCCGTCGCGCCCAGCCCGGCCCCGTCGCGCCCAGCCCGGCCCCGTCGCGCCCGCCCGGCCCCGTCGCGCCAGCCCCGGCCCTGTCCTCCTCCCTGGTACGGTTCCCCCCACCCCGCACCACACTGTACTGCCTTGCACCGCACTGCACCGCACTGCACCACACTGTACCGCACTGCACCGCACTGTACCGCACTGCACCGCGCCCCACCTAGCTGCACTGCCCTGCACCGCACTGGACTGTTCCTGATGGCGGCGGAGCTTCGCTTCGACGCTGAAGGTCAGCCCCTAGAGTTTGAGGCGTGGCTTGCCGACCTCCGCCGCCAACTCACTGGCCAGCGGCAGGATGGTGAACCGCTTTCAGCACACCTTGACGGTACGCTCCCCTGCCCAGACCCCCCTGCTATTCTGCCCGCTGACCCCACACCCACTGAGCGTGAGTCTACTGCTGCCACTGCCCGTGCGCGCTCTGTCTGGCTTTCTCGCGATGCTGTCGCCCAGCTTGCCATTAGCAACGCCCTCCCCCCGTCCGAGCGTCCTCGCTTTAGGTCCCTCACTATTGCTCAGGCATACTTAGATGCTGTGATCAAGCGCTATTCCACCCCTCCGGCTGCCTCGGTGGGTCGCCTGATCCTCCCGATGCTCTTTCCTGACCTTGCATCTTTCCCCACCGTCTCTGACCTCGCTGCCCACCTGCGCTCGATAGAGGAGACCTGGCGCGCCGCCTGCACTGACGCACAGCTTAGAGCCCACCAGCCGCCCATTACCTCTACCCTCTACCTGCTTGCCACCCGCCTCTCTGACCGCCTTGCTGTCGCCCGCGACCGCTTCCTTAGCCTTCACCCCGCCGACCTCACCCTCACTGACTTTGTAGACACCCTGACTGTGATAGAGACCCGTCACCGCTCCATCGCCCAGGCGAGCGGTGTCGTGCCTGTCCCTATCTTTCAGAGTTGTGCCCCCGCCCAGTGTACCTTCTCCGACGGCTCTGTCGCCGTGGCTGAGACTGCTGCTGCAGCGCAGTTTCGTTCGGGGAAGGGGCGCCGCCCCAAGGTTGGGCGCGGTGGAGGCGGAGGCGGGGGTGCGGGCGGGGGTAGTGGTGGGGTCGGGTCGTCTGGTGCTGGAGCGGACGAGGGGACCCTGCCCAGTCCAGCTGAGTCGCCGCCCCTGCAGTTGCAGCAGCCGCAGCGGCCGCCGCAGTCGCAGCCTTCGCAGCAGCCGCAGCAGCCGTCGCAGACGCGGCAGACGAGTGTCCTCCCGCCCGGGTGGCCCGGCGCTGGCGGTGGCCGGGCGCGTGGTGGTGTGTCGAGTGGCGGCGGGCGCTGTCAGTACCAGATCCAGACCGGTCCTCGCCGCGGCTTCGTTTGCGGTAAGATCGGTCACTCCACTCCCCGCTGTTTTCGTCGCCTGGACGACCTCTTTCATCAGCGCTTCGGCCCGTCGCCGGACCTCCCGGACTGGCACAGTTTGCTTAGTCGTAAGATTCAGATTTTTTATCTTGACATGGATGCCATTGTTTCTGCTCTGCATGTGATGTATGCTGATGACTCTAGTGTGCTTCCTGCTTATTACTCACTGTTGCCTAGTGTCGGTGTGCCTAGCTTAGCCTCCCCTGCTGCGTCAGGCGTAGGATCCCCTGCTTTGTGTAGTCTTGGTGCTTCCACCGTCGTTCCGTCGCCAGACGCCTCTGCTTCACTTTCCTTCACCTTGGACTCTGCGCTTCTCGGTGTTTCTTCCGCGACTCCACCACCCTGACGCCGCTTCCTGTCCCTGCTGCCGTTTCTCTTGCTGACCCCTCCGGCGGTCCGGTAGTCGCCCGCAGTTCCACCACCCTTCCCTGTCCGGCGGTTCCTTCGGGCTCTCTTACAGGTCTGCATATCCCCTCGTTCTCCAGGAACCTAGTTGGTGTCGGCTGCCTCCAGGACCTTGGCGTCACCACTACGTTCCCTGGTCACGAGCGGTATGCTGTCTGTACCGAGGCCGCTACCGGTGCCCCCCTGTCCACGTTCCCCCGGGACCCGGTGTCCGGCCTGTTCACTTTGGACACCGTGACCCCCCCGGCTGGAGCGCTCCCCCAGGTTGCTGCTGCCTGCTCCTGTCGGTCCCTCACTCACCCGACCCTCCTTTGGCACCACCGCCTAGGTCACCCTGCGCTCCCGCGTCTGCGTCACATGTCCCAGCACGGTCTTGTCCTTGGTCTCCCAGGTTCTCTCCCCGCGTTTCCCTCCTCCCCAGCCCCACCTTGCACGCCTTGCGTCGAGGGTCGGCTTCGCCGTGCCCCTCACTCCTCCTCGTTTCCCCCTACCGCCGCGCCGCTGCAGACCCTGCACCTGGACGTCTGGGGCCCCGCCCCCGTCCGTGGGCCGCGTCGAGAGAGCTACTTCCTTGTGCTTGTCGACGACTTCACTCGTTACACCACAGTCTTTCCCCTGGAGCGCAAGGCCGACGTGCCTGGCGCTCTCATCCCCTGGCTTGTCTCTGCGCGTGTCCACCGCGGTCTCCCTGTCTTGCGTCTTCACTCAGACCGTGGTAGCGAGTTTGCCTCAGGTGTCCTTGGTCGCTTTTGTCGTGCGGAGGGCATCACCCAGACGTTCACCCTACCGGACTCCCCACAGCAGAATGGGGTCGCTGAGCGACGCATCGGTTTGGTCATGGAGGTGGCCCGCACCTCCATGGTCCATGCCGGTGCACCCCATTTTCTGTGGCCGTTCGCTGTGCGCTACGCTTCTCACCAGCTTAACTTGTGGCCGCACCCTCAGCAGCCGCAGGTTTCGCCGACCCGTCTTTGGACTAGGTCTCCTGGTGACGCGTCTGCGTTCCACGTCTGGGGCTGCCTTGCTCACGTCCGTGCCTCCGGCACGGACAAGCTCACTGCCCGCACCCTTCCCTGTGTCTTCCTTGGTTTTCCCCTTGACGCGTCCGACTGGCACTTTTACCACCCGCCGTCTCACCGCTTCTTTCACTCTCGTGACGTCACCTTTGACGAGTCCGTCCCCTACTACCGTCGCTTCCCCCACCATGGTCCCCCGGTTACCCCCCCCCTGTTCCTGGTCCCTCCTTCCCCGGTAGTCCCTGCCCCTCCTCCTCCTCCTCCCCGTCCCGCCCCCTCTGGTGTGTCCCACGTCACCCCCCTTCCGTCGGTGGACCCGGTTGAGGAGTCTTCTGACTCTGGTGGCCCTCCTGTGCAGTCCTCGTCAGCCGCCCCTCCCCTGGCGTCCCCTCCCCAGTCCCCTCCTCCACCGCCTCTGCCGCCGCTGCAGCCGTCGTTGCCGCCGCCGCCGCCGCCGCCGTCGCAGCACCCGTTCGCTGACTCTGGGGGTGCTCGTCCCTGTCGCACTGGGGGTGGTCCCTCTGGGGGTGCTGGTGTGGAGAGTGCCGGTGGTAGCCGAGGAGCAGCTTGCGGTCCAAGTGTCGCCGTTGTGCCGCCGCAGCAGCAGTCCCCGCCGGTGTCAGCCCTTCGCCTGCTCGGCCTTCCGTCCCCCGACCCTGCGTCTGTTCCTCTCCTGCCGTCTCCTCCTCTTCCTGTCTACGACCCAGTTTTCCCTCCGCCGGACTCGTCCCCGGCACGTCTCTCCCCTCGTTCCCCTCCTGTGTCCCCTCCTCTGTCTCCTGACCCGACTCCTCCGTCGCACGTCTGGTCTCACCGTCCCCCCCGTGCTCGTCCTGCCTCGCCTGTTTTGCGCTCCCACCCTATGTTGCTTCGTTCCCACGCGTCTCGTCCTCCCCTTCTCCCGTCGCCTCCTCCGTCCTCCCTTGTTGTTGCACCCCCCCCGCTGTCTGACTACCTTCGTGCCGCTCGTCCCCTTGTTCCTCGGGTCCTTGCCTCTCTCGTTACTGACCCGTCTGTTCCGGTCTCGTGCCTTGCCGCTCTTGTCGCTGCTGTCGCTGACTTCGCCTCTACCCGCCGCCTTGACTACGCCACAACTCTGGTCTCTGACCCTGCCTGTCCTCCGTCTGTCGGGGGTGCTCCTGCCCTTGGCAGTGACGTCCTGGAGGACCGCCAGTTCGAGCTTGCTTTCCTCTCCGAGGCTGCTCCCCATCTCTGTTCCATGCTGCTAGTCCCTGAGGGTGACCCAGACGCTTTCGACATCCCGACCCCTCGCACTTACGCTGAGGCGACCTCGGGACCCTGGGCCTCGCAGTGGATAGCTGCCATGGAGCAGGAGATGGCATCTTGGAGATCCACCGGCACCTTCGTCGACGCAGTTCCCCCGCCTAGGGTGAACGTAGTCGATGGCCGCTGGCTCTTCAAGGTGAAGCGCCCCCCTGGAGAGCCGCCTGTCTTCAAGGCGCGCTATGTGGCTAGAGGCTTCAGTCAGCGCGAGGGGGTGGACTTCTTCCAGACTTTCGCTCCGACCCCGAAGATGACTACTCTTCGGGTTCTGTTACACCTAGCTGCTCAGCGTGACTACGAGCTTCACTCCCTCGACTTCTCCACTGCCTTCCTTCAGGGCAGCCTACACGAGCAGGTCTACCTACGTCGCCCTCCGGGCTTTACTGGCACCTTCCCTCCTGGGACCCAGTGGCTCCTGCGACGCCCCGTCTACGGCCTGCGCCAGGCTCCCCGTGAGTGGCACGACACTCTCCGTGCTACGCTTGCTGACCTGCAGTTCTTTCCGTCTTCCGCAGACCCTTCACTCTTCGTTCGTGCTGGTCAGACCCCGTTCTACATCCTTGTTTACGTCGACGACCTGGTCTCTGCCACAGCAGACAGGGACGCACTGGCCTCCGTGAAGGCCGAGCTGCTGAAGAGACACACCTGCACTGACCTTGGAGAACTGCGCCGTTACCTTGGCCTGCAGATCTCCAGGGACAGAGCTGCGCGCACCATCACCCTGACTCAGTCACACTTGGTGCGCTAGGTCCTTCAGAGGTTCAGCCTTCAGTTCTCCTCTGCACAGCCCACCCCTCTGCCTATAGACCACAGGCTCTCCGCTCCAGTGTCTGAGGATTTGGTAGAGCCCAGCGGCCCCTACGCAGAGCTGGTGGGTTGCCTCATGTACCTGATGACTTGCACTCGCCCAGATCTCGCATACCCTCTCAGCATCCTGACTCGTTTTGTGGCCACAGGCAGACACCGACCGCAGCACTGGTGTGCCGCTAAGAGGGTTCTGCGTTATCTTGCAAGTACATCGGGCATGGGGTTAGTGCTTGGAGGACGCAGGCCAGTGGTCCTTACTGGACACACAGACGCTTCGTGGGCAGACGACGCCGAGACACTCAGGTCTACCCAGGGCTACTGCTTCAGCCTTGGCTCAGGTGCCGTCTCGTGGAGAGCTACCCGCTCCTTGTCTGTGGCGCAGTCCAGCTGTGAGGCTGAGATCTACGCTGGTGCCATGGCGGCACAGGAGCTCCGCTGGCTGACCTTCTTGCTCACTGACTTAGGTGAGCGGCCTAGCTCTGCCCCGGTCCTGTTCGCTGACAACAGGGCCATGATCCTCCTGTGTCAGGAGCCTCGACTCGAGGGCAGAGCGAAGCACATTCAGCTGCGGTACTTCCTCCTGCGTGAGCTACAGCAGCGACGTCAGGCTCGCGTAGTACACTTGGCCTCAGGTGCCAACACAGCTGATATCTTTAGGAAGGCGCTTGTGCCTAAAGATCATCAGCGGCACTGTGTACAGCTTGGTCTAGTTCCTGTAGCCTCTCACTTGCTAGGACCTTGACTTCGTATTGTCCTTTATATGTATACTCAGACTGGACTTGTGTCCTCTCTCAGTGGCTGGACTAGTAGTGCCGCCCTGCTCTTGCTCTTGCCTTGTCTGTACTCCTTCTGACTGGTCTCTCAGACCCTTGTCTCAGAGGTTGGACTAGTAGTGCCGCCCTGAGCTGCTTGTTTAGGACATTCCCCTATGCAATCTAGGGGGTGTGTCAAACATGTGTACTTGTCATATTTGTATAGACTGTATAGGGTAGTCTCTTAGAGGGTACAACCCTGAGGTATATCCTTGTGTACTCTCTTTCTATCTAACATTCAACTCTCAATTATAATAACCTCTGCCCAATGGTAGTGAGTGTCACACAAAGAATAACACCGAACAGGCACCACCCGGTTAGACAACACCTGCTTCTTCAGCTTGGCTCCCATCTCATGCTACGATCGTCAGCCATGTCTCTCATGCCATGCCATGCCATGCCATGCCATGTCCTGTCATGCCATGTCATGTCACGTCACAACTTTCGTCCCATTGTTTGCATCACAGAAAGCGAATCTCCTCACATGCACCACTCAGCCGATTGCCACCTGCCTCTTCAGCTTCATTGTCGTCTCCTCTTGGGGTTAGCCATCTACCTATGCCGATAAACTCTCTCATCAATCACCCGTGGCCTCCAATACTCACACCACAGGAGCGGAACCTTCGCTCCCGTGCACCACCCAGTTGAATGACACCTGCTACGTCAGTTTCTTGCTTTTGATATCTACCACAGCCAGTCAGCCATGTCATGTCCCCGTCACCACAGCCAGTCAGCCATGTCATGTCCCCGTCACCACAGCCAGTCAGCCATGTCATGTCCCCGTCACCACAGCCAGTCAGCCATGTCATGTCCACGTCACCCCTGCCCTCTGATGCTAGCATCACACAGGGGAACCTCCTTTGTCGCACGCCCCTTTTAACGACACCTGCTTCTTCAGCTCCGTTCTCATCTCGTGCTAGGTGGCCATACCATGGCATGGCATGTCATGTTATGTCATCATCACCCCTGCCTTCCTATGCTCGCATCACACGAGGGGAACATACAGCTCCAACCCCATCTCGTGCTAGGTGGCCATGTCATGCCCACCCCGGCTGATGCTCGCATCCCACGAGGGGAAGCGCCGCACGCGCACCACCCGGTTGAGTGACACATGCTTCTTCAGCTTCGGTCCATCCCATGCCAGCAGTGCCCCTCTCAACATCAAACCTGCCCTCCGATGCTCGCATCGCACGAGGGGAAGCGCCGCACGCGCACCACCCGGTTGAACGACACCTGCTTCTTCAGCTTCGTTCCTCCCGACCCGTTCGCCGGCGACAAGCACGACTTGATAGGGCTCCTCGCCTGCGGGGTGTTTGGGCTCCTAGCACGAGGGTCCGCTGACTGAACTTCAAAGGGACTTGCACCTAGGGTCTGGGTGTGCCTTGCACCCCCTCCTCCTCTGGACCCTCCCTGGCTCTGGGCAGCGCTGCCCATGGCTCCCCCCAAAAACACAGACCCTTGAATGCAGTCTGCACTCTGGGACCGGGCAAACCCCCCCGAGGCCTGGCCCATGCCTGTTTTGGCCGCACCCGTTTGGCCCATGCCCCGACCACCTTGAGGCACAAGAGGGTGGGAAGGGGATGGAGGGAGATGATCCCCCGCGAAAGGGAGGTATGGGCCTTGGGCAGTGACGGTGCTCTGATCACCGTTTCCGTGGCTTGAAGTGGTGTTTCCGAGCGGGAAGGGTGGGATGAGGGGATAGAGGTCGGTTGGAGTGCTGACAGGATCGTCTGGGATATCGCTCGCACTGCTGCGCCGCACCAGAACCCGTACCCGATCCTGCTGCCGAACCTGCTGCTGAGGCTGCTGCTGGTTGGAATAGTGTGAGGGGGAGGTTCGAGGGGCCATGAAGTTAGAGGGTGAGGCATTAGAGGTTAAGCCAGTAGAGGGTGGAAAGTTAGAGGTTGACGGTTCGTAGGTTACAAGATTAGAGGCGGAGAGTTGGCTCATGTCAAGAGACGGGGAGCGGGCATGGGAAAGCCGGGGGGAGGGAACGGGGTTTTGATAGGAGGAGGTGGAGCGGGCGACGGGAGGGCGCACTGGGGAGGCGCGGGGGGAGAGGCGAGACGTGGAGGGGGAGATCCCGGGGGAACGAGTGGGGGAACGGGGAGGCTTGGAGGGGGAGTAGTGGGGGCGATTGGGGGAGGGGGCGGAGGGGAAGGGGGAGGGGAAGGTGGGGGACAGGGGGAAGGAGACGATAGGTTCGGGCAGGGTTGGGGGGGTGGTGAGGGGAGGGGGGCGGGAGAACATGGCTGGTATGGGCTTGCGCTGTTGGGATGGGGAGGCGGAGGGGGAAGAGACTGGGGCGCGGGGGGAGGGTGATGGGGGAACGGCGCTGGGGGAGGATGGCGGGGCAAAGGCGCGTGGGGAAGCGGATGGCGCATGGGGGGAGGCGGAGGGGGAAGGCATACAGGCGTGGGGGGAGGCGGAGGGGGAGGGTAGCTGGGCGCGACGAGGGCGGGAGGGGGAAGAAACGGGCACGCGGAAGGGGGAGGAGGAGGGGGAAGGCTGGGGTGCATGAGGTGAGAGTGGGGAGTCGGAATGACGAGTACGAGAGGAGGGTAGTGGGGCGGTCACTGTCTCGTCGTTCCCCAACGAAGCTGTTCTTGCAGCGACACGATTAACCTGACCTGCAGAAACAGGCGGTTCCCCTTCGCCATAGGCATCCTCGCTAAAAGCACTCTCGCCATAAGCACTCTCGTGATCGGAGTCAGCGTCAGGCGCAGCAGGGTCATCAAACGACACCTGGAGGTGCTTCAGCCGCTCTTGTACCTCTAACGAGAGCCTCTTTATCAGGGCTGGCCCCTGGGGGCCTTTACCATCCGTTCCCCAAATCGAAACACCAGCTGCTGAAGCACCCCCGCCACCGCCGCCACCACCGCCGCCGCCGCCGCCACCACCGCCGCCGCCGCCGCCGCCACCCCAGCCACCATCACCGCTTTTACCTCCGGATCGCTCATTGTAGCTGCTGCTAGCGCTGCTGCCATTGATGCTGGCGCTGCCTGATGTACTTGCGCCTTTCAGCTCTTGAACACCTATAGCCCTTCCAGTAGGGGAAGCCATACCCCGACCAGTGGGGGAAGGGGCATCCCGACCGCTCCCGTCCCAGCTCAGTCGCGCATTGCGCAGACCCCGCCCCTTCCCCGGATGCGCAGGCCTTCCCCCGCCGCTTCCGCGCGCCTGGTTCTCGCTCCCAGCACCTCCGCTTCCGCCGAACTGCTGCGCCCCGCTGCCCAGTCCTCGGAGCATTTCTGCCGCCGCGGCCACCAGCTGCGCCTCCGCGGACGGCGCAAGGTCCGCGGAGCCTCCCCGTCTTGCGCCTTTCCGCTGCACGGGCCGCGCCATCACCACTCCGTCATCGTCATCGTCATCGTCATCGTCATCGTCATCGTCATCGTCAATGTTACTGTTACCGTTACGGTTAACGTCAATGTTAGAAATATTATCGCCACTGGCGAAGATATCGCGCCTTTCGGAAATGGTACCACCAGAGGCAGCACTAGCTGCGGCGGAGGGGTAAGCAGAGCGCGGGGAAGCGGCGGACCGAGGGGGAGTCCCGCGACCATCGGCGGAAGCTCTGCGGGCGGCGCGACTGCGCGACGGCGGAAGGAGCTGCCCCGAATGACCGCTTCTGGGGGGAGGGAGACGAGGGGCGGAAGCATTGATGGAGGCGGAACGCGCCATTCGAGGTCGGGGGGCGGGCAGTTGCGCCGCGGCAGAAGCAGCGGAAGAAGGCGAAACGACTTCCGCGGAGAGTGTCTCCTTGAGGACAGGTCCTTTACTCGTAGGAGAGGAGGGAACAGCCGCCACGTGGAAGCCCGTAAAGCTGGACACGTCATCATCCACGTGTCCCCCTGCCGTTGGTAGCCCGTCAACCGGCGCTGATCCTCCCTCAGCAACAGACGGCGATCCCGCCGGCACCTGCGGCGCCTTAAGTGCTTGCGACGCGGACGCTGCGGCCTCAACACTGCCGCTTGCCGCGACGAGCGGCGCAGCAGCCGCAGCTACTTCCCCCGCGGTGGGGGAGAAGGCGCCGCCGCCCGCTGCCGCTGCCACTGCCGCTGCCGCTGCCGCTGCCGCTGCCGCTGCCGCTGCGCCTGCTACTTTCCCCCCTCCCCCTCCCCCGCCTCCTCCTTCTTCCCCTGCTCCTGCAGCTGATGCGGATCTGGCGCCATCACGGGCGGCACATTTCTCGGCGGGAATTTTATCATGCGATGGTGTCGACCGCCCTTCGCCCCGCGAGCGGCGGAAGCGGAAGAGGTCGGCGGACGCGCGCGCGGGCGAACCGCTCGTGGCGGAACTGCCTGGTTCGCGAGGGGTGTTTCCCCCTCTGCGCAAGAGGCGGAAAAACCCGCCTGCACCGCCAGCAGCACCGCCGCTGCCGCTACTGCTGCTGCGGCGGGAACCGCCATTGTCCCCCGCAGCGTTTGTGCCTTCCCCCTCCGCGCATCCCCCATCGCGCGCAGGTGCATCGAGCCACTTCGCGTCCATATCGTGCGACGCGGTGGCCCTCCGCCGAACGACCTCCGCGTGCGGGCTGCGCACGAAGGAAGCCGCCGGCGGAAGCCATGCGGGCGCGCTCGCCGCTGACGCGGGGGTGAGGCGTTCGGCGTTTGGGAGACACGAAGTGTTTGTGGCGTCCGTCATGGTCTAGTACCAGGCTTTGAAGTATCCCCACCGGAAAAACGGCAAAGAAACGGCATATCAATTGCCATCAACGGCAAATGAAAGTCCACTCCACTGCGCGCCAGCCATGAGCAGGAAAATGGCGATTGTTCCGCGAGGGCAGAGCAATAATGTAGAACGTTTTTTGCAGAGTGCAAGAGAGAGGGTGAAGAGCAGGAGAAACCACAACGAGAGTGAGGGAGGGTTCGTTGGTCGGTGCAGGCGGGCGATGTTCGCGAGCGAATCACGATACACCCGGGCAACTCGCCGTGGCGCATGCGCAGCCAACAAAGGCAACCGCTGCGATTGGCTCCGATCGACATGGTTACCTCCCCACGAGCAGGGGACGGACAGAATTGCCATGCCACGTCCCCCACCCCTTGGACGATGCAAACTCATCGACGAAATCGACGGTTACGCTTTTCGTTCACAAAAGCTGAAAGCTGTCATCATTTCGCGAGCCCTTGCTCTCAACTTCGCTAGGCATTTGAAAAATCTACAGTGCAGAACTGTACCTGCCGTTCACTTGTTCACATTGCTGCCCCTGCACGCGGCAGGGAGAAAGGTCAACCCTTTGCGCCAAGTTCCATCCATGGACCAGGCCAGCAAGTGAAAGGTCAACGCCTCTCTCTCTACACTGCATACTCGCTACTGGACTCTCCGACTCAAGTTGACAGCCGAGATACTGCTCAATCCTGAATGCTCAACCTCAGATAATTTTCACTGGTTCCCATGTCGAATGTGTTTCCTCTCCTAGACTAGATAGAGAACACACAAATCCTTACAATAGGGCCCTCGCAACGCAACAAAGTCATTATAACCAATTCCATAAACCAACATAGAACTTGGCCAGACAACTCCATAACAAGCCATCATAGTCTCAAATGAAACTTGGCAATCTCCGTACCCAAGTCAACCCTCGGGTGTGGGCCCTGGTTCAACCAGCCCTTCGCACAATGCGAATCTACGAACGCGCACCACTCGATCAAAAGATACCTGCTTCTTCAACTTCCGTCCACCCGATCCATTCGCTAATGATAAGCACGACTTCCCAGGGCTCCTTGGTAAAGGAGGTCCCCAGGGACTCCTTTCCTCGGCGCTCATTCCTCGGGAACTCATTTCCTGGCCCGTCCCAGCACCAACGCTCGGAGCCCTGCCATGCCCTCTCCTCCCCCCTTGAGGTGCATCCAGGCTCTGCTGTCTTCTGTCCCCCCTTTCAGCCCTTACAAAGTCTGCGCTCTGCGATCTCACAAAGCACCGCGAAGAGCGTGAATTCTGCGAATTCTGCGAGCTGTCCTCGATTCTCTGTGCTGATTGACCTACGGGACCTGCAACTACGGGAAGCTTGCCACCCACTAGGACTCCCGGTACCTCACTTGAGCCTGGACTTTGGGGGAGGTAAGGTGGGACGTGATGCGGATCAATGTCAGATAGATGTTTGCTGCTGTCATCAGGCAAGCCAGTAGTGCTCTTCCGAACTTGTTTCCGAACCTGCTGCCTAACCTGCTGCCGAGCCTGCTGCTGAGGCTGATGCTGCGCCTGCTGCCGAGCTTCCTGCTGACCCAGCTGCTGCCAAGCCTGCTCCAAGAGCTTCTGCTTCTGAGAATTCACCTGAGAGCTCTCCTGAGGATTCACCTGAGAATTCTCCTGAGAAATCCCCTGCGGAGGCAGATGGCTGCACTGTGGGGTCCACTGGGCCATCCCCAGGCCATGAGAGGGGTAACACACATGGCAGGGGGGGGAAGGGTGTGCATAGTAAGAGACTCCTTTGGACAAGGATGGGGTTTGGGGCGGGTATTTAGCGGCGATTGAGCCAGATATTATAAGCCCCCGAGGCCCTTCCAAGCCCGCTTCATTAAAGGGGACGGAATCAGGGCAAGGAGGGGAGGGGCGCGCGTAATAAGAAACTCCTTTGGACAAGGATGGGGTGTGAGGCAAGCTCGAAGTTGGCGGCTGGCTTGAGTCGACAGAGGCGGCGGTGGTGCGGTTATGGCGTGGTGAAAGGGGGGGTTTCTGATGCGAGGCGTGCGAAGGAGGGGCGGCGTGAGGGTAGGCAGGGGAAGCGCAGGGGGAGAATCTGGCAGAGGCGGAAGGGGAAAGCGTGGGGGAGAAAACGGGGGAGCGGGGGGGCTTGGAGGGGAAGAAGTGGGGAAGATCGGGGGAGGGGGCGGGGGGGGAGTGGGCGGAGGGAAGGGAGTAGGAGAAGGTGGGGGAATGGGCAATGGAGGAAGGGGAGAAGGGAGAGGGGCGGGGGAAGGTAGCGGAGGTTGGTGCGATCGACAAGGAAACGGCAGAAGTTGAATGGGGTGGAGTGGGAGTAGGGGTGGTGGGGGGAGGGGGGCGGGAGAACATGGCGGGTATGGGCTTGTGCTGGCGGGAAGGGGAGGAGGAGGGGGAAGAGACTGGGGCGCTGGGGGAGGGTGAGCGGGCAAGGGCGCTGGGGAAAGGCGGTGGGGGGGAAAGGGTGGGGAAGGGATGTGTCACTGAAGGCTCATGAGGGGAGGAGACTGGTTGTGCTCTTGGAGGGGAAGTAACTGGGGCTGTAGCCAGCAGGGTCGCTGAAACAGCTTCTTCTGATTTCCCCAGCAGAACTGAAGCCACGGCTCGCAGATCAATCTTCCCTTTAGGGTTAAGTTTCCCCCCCTCATTATAAGCACTCTCGCCATAAGCACTCTCACCATAAGCAGTCTCGTTATCAGAGTCAGCGTCAGAAGGGGGGCTGTCGAAAGTCACCTGCAGGTGCGCCAGCCGCTCTTGTACCTGTAACGAGAGCCTCTTTATGGGGAAGGGTCCTTGAACTGAAACGCAAGCTGGGGAAGCTGCTGGGTCTCCGCTCCCCTCGATTTTCTGCCCCCCCCCGCTCCCCCCAATCTTCCCCCTCCTGCTCCCCCCAATTATCTTCATCCCCATGCTTCCCCCAAACCTCTCCCCCCTGCTCCCCTCGATCTCCCCCCCCTTGCCGCCGCCCCCCCTTGTTTTCTCCCCCATGCTTCCCCCAATCCTCTCCCCCCCACTCCCCCCAATCTTCTCCCCCCAGCTGTCCAGTTATTTCCGCCACAAGCTGAGCCTCTGCGGATGGTGCAGGGCGATGGGCGGATGGAGCAGGGTGGTGCGCGGATGGAGCAGGGTGGTGCGCGGATGGAGCAGGGTGGTGCGCGGATGGAGCAGGGTGGTGCGCGGATGGAGCAGGGTGGTGCGCGGATGGTGCAGGGTGGTGCGCGGATGGTGCAGGGTGGTGCGCGGATGGTGCAGGGTGGTGCGCGGAAACCCACCTTTTCTGGCTTCTTTTCTGGACGGGCCATGCCAACACCATTCCATCAACATCCCCATCCCCATCCCCATCGCCATCCCCATCGCCATCCCCATCGCCATCCCCATCGCCATCCCCATCCCCATCGCCATCGCCATCCCCATCCCCATCCCCATCGCCATCATTGCAGTTATCACCATTGCCATTGCGACCAAGGGAAGAGACGCCGGGGGGGGAACAAGCTGAGGCGGAAGGGGAGGCGGGGGGCTGGGGGGCGGGGGAAGGGGAAGCGGTTGACCGAGGAGGAATGGCGAGGGGAGGGAGAGAGGAGGAGCGGAGGAGGCTGGTCCCCCGGGTCGGTGCAAGGAGCACGTGCTTGCCTCTGCGCGGGGAGGGGGTGGCGCTCCGCGGCTCACTGGGGGGTTCCGGTTGGAGGTGAGTAGCGGCCAGTGGCAGTAGCCGCGGCAGTGCCAGGGGCAGAGGACGTGCCACGCTGCTGGTGGGCGCCTGTGCCTGTGCCTGTGCCTGTGCCTGTGCCTGTGCCTGTGCCTGTGCCTGTGCCTGTGCCTGTGCCTGTGCCTGTGCCTGTGCCTGTGCCCAGGTCGTTGTGACACCGGCCTGGCCAGAGCGGTAACCGCTGCTGCTGCTGCTGCTGCTGCTGCTTCTGTTGAGGCTGCTGTCGCCATCAGTGAAGGGGAGGGAACCCGCACCCTTGCCGCCCCTGCTGCCGCTGCCGCTGCCGCTACCGCTGCACCAAGAATTGCTCTGTGCCCCCCGAAGGGATGCAGTGGCGGAACGCTTTGGAGGCGGCTCAAAAGCAGAATCGCTCTGTGCCCCCCGAAGCGGTGCAGTGGCGGAACGGATCAGGCGACGCTCGGGGTGGGACGGCTGAGGCGGGGCGGAGGAAGCGGGGAGAGATAGGGAGGAAGGCGGTGGAGAGGGCTGAGATTCTTTTTCAAGAGGCGGCGCTTCTGGGGTGGGCTGCACCCGCGAAGCAATTACTAGTGCCGCCGTGGCTGTTGCAGCCGCCTGGAAGCTTCTGGAGACTGGCCTGTGCCTGCTGCTGCCACCAACCATTGCCCTTGTGTCGGCCACTTCTCCTGCTTCCCTTTCCCTTCCTCCTCCCCTTCCTCCCCTGCCTCCTCCTCCTCGTCCGCCTCCTCCTCCCCCCCTTCCCCGTTCTCCCCCTCCCCCTCCCCCTCCCCCTCCACCGTTTACTGACGCAGAGCTGGGAGGTTCAACGTCTTGAGCCCCCAGCAGGGTCCTGCCTGTGGTAACAGCGTTGCTCGCTGCCGCATCGCCACATTTTTCGCCAACTTCGGGGGTGTTCGTCTGGGACGTCGTCCGCCCCTCGCCCCACGACGAGCGACGGAAGCGGAAAAGGTCGGCGGAAGTCCGCGCAGACGGACCGCTGGTGCGCGCAGGCGGACCGCTCTTGGCGGAGCTGCCTACCAACTCGCGCGCGCTGCCGTTTACCCCCCGACGCAGGAAGCGGAGAAACTTTCCGCCGCCAATTCCGCCAGTGGAAGCATTGCCGGCGCCCGTTACCGCCGTTCCCCCGCCGCTTTTCCGCAGAGCCCCCGCATATGACTCCGAGTCCCCTTCCGCGCGCGTGCGTTCCCGCTCCGCGCCCGTACCTCCAACCGCGTATGATCCGCCAATGCGCGCGAAAGCGGCGTCCCACACCGCATCCATATCGAACGACGAGGTTGCCTTCCGCCGAACGATCTCCGCGTGCGGGCTGCGCACGGGGGAAGCTGCCGGCGGCGGAAACCAGGCGCGCGGTTCTCCGCAGCTATCGTTGGGCTTAGACATTCGGACACCGTCACAATCACCGTAAGGGGAAGATACGCGCAGTGACTGCGCTCGCAATGACTACTTGGAAAATTTGATGGATCTTGAATCGCTCCCTTGTTAGTAGTATCTAGGTTGAGTGCATTCTGAGGGCGGCTTCTCCAAGAATCACCCCCAGTACTGAAAGCGGGCAGTAAGTTGCGATGAGATGTTAGAATCCCCATCATGCCGTCGTATCGCAGCGCTGCCGCTGACCACCGATTTGTCATCCCGATAATCCGACAAGCTGTGCAAGTTGAACTGCGAAGAAAGTCGACGCTGGACTCAAACAACTTGCTGCAGATAAACGACAGAACGATCTCGAAGCACGTGACGAGACGAGACGACTGAGCAAACGGGTCCGTACAGTGCTTACTAGTAGCACTGTTGGGGCAAGAGGCTGAGGAGGCTACACATAAGGAAGAGAAGACGATGGCATATGGAAGAGGAAGCACGGGAGGAGATAGGACATGGCAGTGGGAAAGGGGAGTTTTGAGGGGAGTGGACCAAAGTGGAGGCAGCAACTCAGATCGCGTTATGCGGAGAGTAGACTAGACACCACTCCGCACAGGTAAAAATTTCGTTGTCAGGGAAACCGACAGATTCGAGTTCCCTGGTTGAGAATCCAGAGAACAATTGGAACCCTGGAATGTTGCCCCTTGGTGTCCACATTCCTTAAATACAGTCGAAATTTCACGCTTTGCAAACATTTTCTCTTTGTGGAGCAGTAACTTTGTAAAGTAGCAGCTGAGGGTGGCAGCCAATAACTGGGCGCCCATACGCCCAAGGTTTTCGGAATAAGTCAAGAACATTGTGATCTAGTCCCCTTGAAAAGGATTACCAGGGGTATGAACCCTTCAAACGAGAGGTGATGCATCCCGATGTCTCAAACTTTCAAATTTGTGCCCCAAGCATGCACGAAAACTTTGGCCTCAGGTGGTTACATACAGTACAGTAGGTTGCCGAACGGGACGGGCGATAATTCGTCAACAACTCTTGGGGCTTTCGTTTGTTTTCGTTTCATTTCGTCATCATCCTTCTTTGGCTCGCACTGTAGTGCTGAACTGTACTGTGCTGTATCGTACGGCACTGAACTGTACAAATGGTGTCCACCGTACGCTTTGCCCGTAGCCAATTCTATCCTGCCCATTTTCCCTGTTTTACGAGCACTAGTCGTTTGGTTAAGATCCAATAGTCGCCATCGTGGAGCCATTTTATTGAGTTTGAAACTGCTGGACAAACAGATGCATGTGATTGTTGAACATAATTCGGACTCCTGAAATATCTTGTTACAAAATGCCTATTTGTGACCCGTTCACCCGTGGCGATGAAGGGGAAGTGACGAAATCGACATTGGCTCCCGCGACTCGGCAAAGTAATGGGCGTACGGTGGACATCATTTGTATTGGTCCGTATGCCGCACAAATAGGTCAACCCTAGAAGGTGTCATCACTGGATTGGCTTCTTCCGCCCTTCCCCTCCTGTACACAACCTGCGACATCTTCACTACTAACAACTTCACATATTTGACTATGTTCCCTCTGATATAGGGCGACCCGTGGCTGCATCATGAAAATGATAGAATAATGTGAGCACTTGCTTGAACATCACAGGCCTCTGCGAGCTCCCACGGGGTCCGACGACAATCACAGCAGAACTGTTCTAGTGTAAAGGGCGTGCTCTTCGAATCCAATCCACTCTGCCTATGGAACTAGACTCAATCGTCTAGGGTTCTCATCACCCAAGGACTAAAGTCGTGCCGGGTGTGTTTGGCTCAAGAATCTCCAGGGTGTGAAATTACCGCGATCTAGGCTGTGCTGTACAGTTCAGTTTGGTGCCCCTTCCTTGTTCGTCTTTCCTGCCAGAAAAGGTCAACGCAGACTTTCACGAAGTCCAGCCAGGAGCAATTGACCTGCAAGGGTGACCTCACTACTGGAACCCTCGATTCTCTTCATGCTCGAAAATGTAGAAACATTAGTCCACTAGGCAATGCACAACACCAATAACGAAGCATATATGATGGGGCCACCTCGTCAAGTCGTGACTTTTCTTGGGTAGAATCAGGTGAGGGAAAGGGCACTACACCGAGAGACTACTCCATTTGACCAGCCTAAATGGTATTGTTCTGCATAGCACAGCACAGCACAGCTTGTACCAGCACAACACTACCACATCGAACCATAGCAGATCAACCTTGCGTGGAACATCAAAGCACCATAGCATGCCAAACATGCAAGGCACATCATAGCAATACAGCATGCTGCACCTTCAAGGCACTGCCTAGCACCACGGCATGCCATGATTGTTAGGCACAGCAAAGCGCCGACAACATGCCATATATGCAAGGACCGGCATAACGCCACCACCATGCCATACTTGCAAGGAGCAGCAAAGCACCACATTATGCCATACCTGCAAGGTGCAGCAGAGCACCACGGCATGCCTTACCTGCAAGGTGCAGCAAATCACCATCGCATGCCGTACCTGCAAGATGCAGCAAAGCACCATGGCATTCTTAGAGTCGCAACAGCAACTAGAACAAGATACAGCGGACATCTAGGGTTAATGTTGTACCTGTGAAGATAGGGCTTGGGTAGAGAGAAGGTTAGCAAGAAGAACGGGGGTTGACTAAGAAGAGAGAGGGGTACAAGAGAAGAGTTGTCCCCTTTACAGTAAGAACCAGTACGTATACTACACCTACCTAGCCCACACACATATATATAAATCTAAAAATATATATATGTGATACACCCCCTAGGCCTCGTAGGAGCTACTCACAGAAGCAAGAGACCAGGGCAACACTACTAGTCTATCCACTGGTATGAGGAGTAAGAAAATGTTACAACACACCACACATCCAACACATCTTAACCCAGCACCCCCAAGCCCTAGCACCCCCATACCCAGCAGCAGCGGTGGCATTCTACATCCGGTTTGACCCCTCGGCGTGCGAGGCGCTGACGTCGGCGGTGGCGACAGCGGCAGCGGCGGCGAATCCAGCGGCACCAAGAAGTGTGGAACGGCTCTTCGACGACGGGGAAGACGGGACAGCCATCAGGTGCGGTGGGGAGAAGGAGGGGTGCGGGAAGCGGGAGGGCAGTTAGAGGGCGAGAGGGCAGCTAGAGCGCGCTGGCTGAGGCGGCACGGCGAGACGGGGCCGAAGCGGCGAGCTGGGGCCGTTGCGGCGAGCTGGGTCCGAAGCGGCGAGCTAAGGCTGCTGTGGCAAGCTGGAGCGGCGCAGCGAGCTGGCCCGTCACGACGAACTGGGTCAGCGCGGCGAGCTGTGGCCGACGCGGCGAGCTGGGTTCCAGCGCAGCACGGTGCGCCATGCGGGCACGACGGTGGGATAAGAGGGGAGAGTGAGATGCAGAAGCGTAGGGAGCAGGCCCGGTAGGATGGACCTGTTCTGAAACCATGTCGAGATAGGGCCTAAGTAGAGAGAAGGTTAGCAAGAAGAAGGGGGGTTGACTACGAGGAGAGAGAGGTACAAGAGAAAAGCTGTTCCCTCTACAGTAGGAACCAGTACGTTTGTACACCTACCTAGCCTCCACACAGATATATATACATATAAATATATTTATATATATATTGATAGTACCCTTTAAGAACACAAACATATCTAGCCTATTACTTATACATACAAGTCATATGTATAAGTTGACACACCCCCTAGGCTAGATAAGGGGCAGTGCCTAACAAGAAAGATGCACCTCAGGGCGGCACTACTAGTCCAACCTCTAAGGCAGGGGTCCGAAGTCCAGTCAACAAGTGTACAAACTAAACACGAGTAACTCAATGCAGCACTACTAGTCCTGCCATTGAGACAAGAGCCACAAGACCGGCCAAGAGAATATAAGGAGTAATACACAAGTCGGGGTCGTAGCAAGTGAGGAGCTACTGGAACTAGACCAAGCTGTAAGCAGTGCCGCTTATGATCTTTAGGCGCGAGCGCCTTGGTAAAGATATCAGCTGTGTTGGCATGATGCCAAGTGTACTACGCGTGCCTCGCCGCGCTGCTGTAGCTCGCGCAGGAGGAAGTACCGCAGCTAGGTGTGCTTCACTCGGCCCCCTAGTCGAGGCTCCCGAAAAAGGATGATAATGGCCCAGTTGTCAGCGTATAGGACCAGAGCAGAGCTAGGCTGCTCTCCTAAGTTAGTGAGCAGGAACGTCAGCCATCAGAGCTCTTGTACCGCCATGGCACCAGCGCAGATCTCAGCCTCACAAATGGACTGTGCAACAGACAACGAGCGAGTGGACCTCCACAAGATGGTGCCTGCACCAAGGCTAACACAGTAGCCCTGGGAGGACCTGAGCATCTCAGCGTCCTCCGCCCACGAAGCGTCTATGTGCCATGTGAGAACCATCGGTGTGCGTCTTCCCATCAATAGCCCCATTCCTAATGTACTTGCCACATAACATAAACACCCTCTTAGCGGTCGACCACTGCTGGGGTCGCTGTCTGTCCGTCGCAACAAAGCGTACGATGATACTAATAGGGTATGCGAGATCTAGACGAGTGCAAGTCATCAGGTACATGAGGCAGCCCACAAGCTCTGCGTACTGACCACTAGGCTCAACGGGCTCATTAGGGAGAGGAGCTGAGAGCCTGTAGTCGATTGACAGTGGTGTGGGCTCTTTAGAGAAGAACTGAAGGCCGAACTTTTGACCGGCGCACCAAGTGTGACTGTGTGAGAGTGATGGTGCGCCCTACTTTGTCCCTGGAGATCTGCAACCCAAGGTTGCGCGCAGCTCTCCTAGGTCAGTGCAGGTGTGTCTCCTCAATAGCTCGATCTTCACTGAGGCTAGCGGATCTCTGTCTGTAGTAGCGAAGACCAGGTCGTTACGTAGACTATGATGTAGAACGGATTTTGGCTTGAGCGAACGAAGAGCGACGGGTCAGCAGAGGACGCAAAAGAATAGAAAGTCTGCTAGTGTAGCACGCAACGTGTCGTGTCACTCTCGGTGTGCGTATCGCAGACCATAAACCGGGTGCTGGAGGAACCACTGGTTTCCTGAGGGAAAGAGCCAGAGAATCCTGACAGACGACACATGTAGATCTGCTTGTGCAGACTGCCCTGGAGGTACACAGTGGAGAAGTCCAGCGAGTGAAGCTCGTAGTCAGCTGTGCTGCTACATGGAGCAACGCTCGAAGAATGGTCATCTTCGATATCAAGGCGAAGGTCTGAAAGAACTCAACGCCTTCGCGCTGACTAAAGCCTCTAGCAACGTACCGCGCCTAGAACACCGACGGCTCTCTAGGAGGGCGCTTCACATTGAAGAGCCATCGGCCATCGACTATGTTTGTTCCAGGTGTGGGAAATGTGTCAACGTAGGTGCCGGTTGATCTCCAAGATGCCATCTCCGCATCCACGGCAGCTATCCACTGAGAGGCCCAAGGTTCCGAAGTCACCTTAGCGTAGGCGCGAGGGGTCGGGATGTTAAGAGCG